TAGGAATTTGAAGTTTTAGGGGAATGTTCCTCAACCATGTTTGATCGCACAAATCTGAGTTCAGCTTTCCCCTGCCCACCGGTACCACGTACTCTCGTGAAAATTTAGGTGGGCAAATTTGTTACCTCTGAAGTTAAGAAAGGTTGAAAGCTAGAATATCAGAATAATATTAGAGTTTTCAGTCTCAAGAACTTTTTAATCCCATACAGTAAATCTCGATGGGAGAGTGTGTATACGGCGGACATAAAATGACGCGTCAAAAAGTATGGAGAATTTTGCATAACAAGAGCATACTTGCTTGCTTTGTCAGGAGGAAGAAGGCCAACGGAGGCCATTTTTCCCAGATTTCTTATCATCGCTGTCATTGGCATATGAACAAGCAAAGCCTCCCATACACGTCTGTCATCAAGCAGGTCCGTTGGAATATGCTCACGTACGAAGCCTAAAGAACAGCAAAGCTCAATGTTAACAAAAATGTCGCGAGAATAAGGCATTTTTGCAACGGATCATCCGGCTTGTTGGCGCGAAAACAAGAAACCATGCCTTGGCCGAATTTGGCGCTATGCAAACTTTTAGAGGATTTTTTCTGGATTTTCTTTTCGCACTCAATACTAAAGGAATACTCCAGCTTTGCGTTTCAATCAGTATAACAGTGAGCCTCAGAAACAGTGAATTTCTGTAGATTAAAAAAATGTCTTACAAGAACTGAAAATTTATATATGAAAATTCCATGAATTTTCTTTCTTTCTCTTTGAAAGTACCAAACTTCAAAATCTAACAGTGCGGATTTTTGTTGGCTACTCACTAGAATTTGCAAAATAAACTGGTTATTTGTACTGCACAATCGGGATGAAAGTATAACTTGCTATCTCTTCCCCCTCATCTCCACTTCCCCCCGCCCTTCCTTGCTTTTCCCCTACAAAGACTATAATAATCGGTATGGGATCTCGATGTCAACAAGATGCAAAAATTGCACAGCTAGGCCTGAGGAGAAACAACAGGCAGGGAAAAGCTCACCGTGCTGGATGATAAAATCAACAGCTTTTGGAACGTCAGTTTTTCCCAATTTCTTCAATTTTTCATAAGTTCCGAGAAATTTGAGAACTTTCGATGTCTCGGCGGTTGGAGCATTTTTATTTTTCATCGACTCAACAAGTACTTTCTGGTCTTCTTTCATCTTCAGCTTCGCCAAATTTTCCGCCACATCCTTTGCTTGTTCATGGATGTGTGACCCATTTTTTTCCATCTTTAGCTTCTTAGCACTTTTTTCAGAAAACAACTGTTTTCGCTTTCGAGTCGCTGCGTCTTCTTAAAGAACGCAATATGAAAATGATTTGCAGCCTAATAAACCAACAAAACTGTTAGCTGAACTGCACTCACAGGTGAATACTGAGAATGCCACCATTAGCGAAATAGAGGGCATGCCTCAAGAGAACAGGAGAGAAAACGATGATTACCTTGCATTATAAAATCAAAAATAGCGTCGTATTCGGTGTGATATTGCCAGTACTTGTGGTCAGGCGGCAGCGCTGTAGATGCGTGTATGTGGCTCAACCGAAAGATGTCGCGGTGCGAGTACCCCTCACGATTGCGGTATTTGGTGACCTGCATTACCAGCCGCTCGGGGCTTTGACTGAAGTACCTAAAACAAAAGCAAATTTTAGAAAATGCTCAAATTTTTGAAAGAGTGATTTCTAAATCGCAACAAGCAAAAAACATACACTCGCTAAAAAACTATAACTTTATGCTTTTTACCTATGGTAGCACTTTTTTAACGGCAATTATCCACTAGTATCAACACTTACGTGACTTGAAGGAACTACTCTTTTTAATTTATTGAGATCATAACCAGCCCTTTGTCTCTTCTTTTAATAAATTCCATTGTTTCTTTCAAAAGTAGTGATTCTTGAGCAACTTTATTTTCTAATCCTAGGCTAAATTTTCACCTCTTTAAAATCCAGCTTTTCAACTGAAATTTTAATCTTACCGTAAAGCATTGGCGACAAGCACCGGGCAGGCCCATGCGATCTTGCGTTTTTGCAATATTTCGTGCTGTAATGAGATCGCTCAGAAACCCAGTAACTAGAAATGTGTGACATAATGGTCCTCAAAGACTGAGAATCTAATTGTATACGTGGTATGTGGACAGGGAAAATTTCGTTGAAATTTCAGCTTTCCAAGTTTTCTTGAGTGCGCAATTTTCCTACCAAAAAATTTTCGCAGGGCCGTATATGAAAACCACACAAGCACGGAGGGCTGAGTTTGATAAATTTAAGTCGCACATGGGCTGGGAACATTCCCTGAAAATTTCAGCATCCGGGCTTTTCTGGTTACAGAGTTGGCCAATTCCGCGCCAAAAACTTTCACGGGGCCGTACGTGAGAACCACTCGCACGGGGGGCTGAGTTTGATAATTTTAAGTAGTACTTTGTACTCGTAACATTCTCTGAAAATTTCAGTCCCCCAATTTTTCCGGTTCCTGAGTTCGCCACTTTCGCGCTAAAAATTTTTAACGGCCATACATGATAACCACAAAAGCCTGGGGATTAAAAATGATAAGTTTAAATTGTACATGTGCTAGGAACATTCCATGGAAATTTCAGTTCCCCAATTTTTCTGGTCCCCAAGTTAACGATTTTCACGCCAGGAACCCTTTCGGGGCCATACGCGTGAACCGTGCATACCTGGTGGTTCACGAGTATGACCTCGAGAGGGTTCCTGGCGAGAGGGTTCTTGAATTTGAAATCTTTGAGTTCTATGTAGACGTAGGACATAACCTCAAAATTTCAGCTTTATAGCTTTTCTGGTTCCCGAGTTGGCGATTTTCTCGCCAAAACTTCACCTCCTCATATGCGGGGCTCAGACTTGCTTGAGAGTTGGTACCGCGGTCCTGGGATGGCACTTAGCCGGAGAACCCACCAGCGAAATTTTGGCGTCGGAGCTTGCTTGGATGCCGAGTTAAAATATCCAGACACACAGACACACACACACACAGACACACACACACACATATCGGGGTCGTTACAATATGCGCTTTTTGCATTTACATACAAACAAAAGTGCATAGAAACTGCCAAAAACCACAAAGTTCAAAAAAGTACCAAAAAATGCATACTATTAGTGATAAAGCTTACCAGCGGCAAACAGTAGCACGTAGTGCACGTCCCCATCCTTTGCTTTTCACTTTAAGCCCGGTTTCACCAGAAATCATTTTGCAATATTTAATAAACATGAAAAGGTGGGTCGGAATACGGCAAACCTGAAACTATCATTGTTACCACTGTCACTATCAGTAGTACTACCACTGTAATTATCACCAGCAGCAGAACTGTCGTCTTGAGAATAAGTATGCCCTCGAATTCCCAAATAAATGGCCAGCGCGCGACTGCCGGTGCGAAGATAAGTTTTTATGCGTTTTTGTTTATATGCAAGTGCAAAAACGCATATTGTGACGACCTCGGTGTGTGTGTATGTGTGTGTGTGTGTGTGCGTGTGTGTGTGTGTGTGTGCGTCTGTCCAGATATTTCAATTCGGCACCCAAGCAAGATCCGGCGTCAAAATTTTGCTGGTGGTTCCCCGACCAAGTGCCACCCCAGGACCGCGGTATCAACCCTCACGCAAGTCTGTGCCCCATACACGAGGGGGTGAAAGTTTTGGCGGGAAAATCGCCAACTCGGGAACCAGAAAAACTAGAAAGCCAAAATTTTGAGCTTATGTTCCCCGTCCCCATGGAACTCAAAGATTTCAAATTCAGCCCGCAGGCGTGCGTGGTTCCCGTGTATGACCCCGCAAAGGTTGCTGGCGCGAAAATCGCTAACTTGGGAATCAGGAAAGCTGGGGAGCTGAAATTTTCAGGAAATTTCAAAGCACATGTACAACTTAAATTTAACAAAATCAACTCCCAGGCAACCGTGGTTATTACGCACGGACTCGTGAAATTTTTTGGCGCGAAAATGGTTAACTCAGGAACCAAGAAAGCTGGAAGGCTGAAATTTTCAGAGAATTTTTCGAGCTCAAGTACAATTTAAATTTATCGAACTCAGCCCTTCGGGTATGCGTGATTGTCACGTACGGCCTAGTGAAAATGTTTGGCGCGGAAATGGATAACTCGGGAACCAGAAAAGCCCGGAGGCTGAAATTTTCAGGAAATGTT